TGCAGACCCGGATATAACAGAGTGAGTCATGATGTGTTATTTGGTATGGAAAGGCGAACAGCGTCCTTGGATTCACCAGATCCTCCAGAGAGGTTTCTAGTTCGGTGAATCCAGGGATGGTATTGCAATTCTCCTGAACACACCTCTACAGAGGGATGACAAAACAATTAGTTGCTGGAAATACGTCTGGTGTGAATGCACCTTAAAGGCATTTCAGCTTTTTGTAGGAATCCGATTGGAGCCCAGAAACAAAAGTTTGGGAGTTCTGTTTCAGCAGAACCTGTACGACCTTTCATCTTTGCTGCATCCAAGTGGTGAACTTATTTTATTAGATTTAGTTTTTTTGTTTGTTTGTTGTTTTTTAACATCAATTCTGCTGCAGCTTGTTTCTGTTGTCCATGTCTTAGAAGTCATGAAAGCGATGACGGCTGCTTTAGAAAATCCTGGATGTAATAGTCACCCTGACACAACCTCCAGGTTGATGGTTTTTCAGTGTAGTCCTGTTTCTCTGACTGTGACTGGCTGGATGAGCTCTCTTCATCCTCCGACATGGGAGCTGGCTCGGAGCTCGTCTGCCTGGCTGTGTTTCCTGGACGGGGCCGCCTGTGGAGCTGGTTGACAGTTGCCTTTTGTGTCTCTGCTTATTTCTGTATCTCTGCTTCTGTCTCCTTGAACCCCAGTCGGCCTCTGCAGATCGCCACTCACATTGCTTGTTTCTCAATTCACAAAAACGCGAGTTCGGACACAGGAAAGTATGGACTTGGGAAGAACGGGAGCATGCAGCATAAATATGGCTCAAACTGGAACAGAAGCGTACTCGTGACGTCACCATACGCTCAGCTCTGGAGCTGCATTTCACCTCCTGTTATTAATAGTCTCTAGATAATAATATATTATTACTTTTTTCATTTAGTGGGGGAATAATAAAGACGTCAGATAAACACAAATCAAATGAAAACTTCACCAAATAAAACAAAAAAATCGCCATCAGAGCCAGAGGTCCTTCACACATGGCTATGCAGAGAGAGGGCTGCTGCAGACGGGCTAAAGTTTTTAATTACGCATTAAATCGGTAAATAGGCCATATAGTTAAGCTTAAAAGTATAATATTCTAACCTCAAATTATCTTAAAACGTACTTTTATTCAACAGAGACAACAGAAAGGAGAACTTTAACTTAATACTCTGAGCTCTGTTAGCGCTCCATTGAAAACTGCTGCTGCCGCAGTGCATGCTGGGACAGCTCTTAGAACCGAGAACGGACAAGTCTGCTCTGATGCATGTTCGCTAAATAGGGTAGGGCGAGAACAACATCCGGGGATCCTGGTCTATTATTGTGTATTGGAACAATGCTAGGGCTGAGGCTGATGACATTTCACAAGTACACATAATTAAAAATGGCCTTTGAGCCAGGTTCTGCTGGAGGTTTCTTCCTGTTAAAAGGGAGTTTTTCCTCCACTGTCGCTACAAGCATGCTTAGTGTGAGAGATTGCTGAAGAGTCAATGATTCAATGCAATCAACTGGTTTTCCTTAGAACATTTTTAATCAATTTGACTGTATTATCTGGTGAACTGTAAAGTGCCTAGAGATGACATGTGTTGTGAATTGCCGCTATAGAAATAAACTGAATTGAACTGAATCCAGTTGACTCGCTTTGTTTTCTTTCACTTATGTTTTTCCAGATGTGCTCAGCGTGCCACCATCCAGGAGCAACCTTGGGCTGCTTCTTCAAAGGCTGTCCTAACAAGTACCACTATAGGTGTGCTCTGGAGTCAGGTGAGTCAGGCTTTTATTATCCTTAAAGCTGCTTTCCTACAGCAGGACTCAGCAAAAGTATTGAGATTTCCACATTCTGTATGGATGGATATGGATTGTGTCGATATTTTTTGCAAACGTGTTTTATTCATTGAAATTTGAAAAAGAAAATGCAATCAAGAAACAAATATTTGAAATGTTTAAACCAAAAAAAGATTTTTTGAGAGTAACTTTGCTTTTTATTTTATTTTTTTTCATTTATTCTATTTTTCAAAATGTATCTTTAATTAGAATTCACTTGAAGATTTTTGTTTTTCAAATTATTTTTTCAGATTACTTTTACTTTGTTACATATCAAGTCTAATTTATTAGAGTTTTGGATTATACAATATGTGTTTTTTTTTTTCTTCAAATTACGTTTTCCAAACCACATTCTCTTCACTTCTGTGAAAAATTAATACGTTTTAAATCAAAAAAATCTAAGAAAACTGCAAAGGTACATTAAAAACCTTTTTGATTGAAACTTTTCAAAGTTTCATTTCTGGATAGCATTTCTTTTTTTTTTTACTTATTACCAAAGCCTGTTCTTTGCTAACAACAACAATGGAACATTTTTGCAATTTTAACCACAGGTTGCATCTCATATGGTTGACCAGCATAAAACGGTTTATAATTTTTAGTGGAAGGAAATTAATATTATTTTATTTACTAATGAAGATTTAAAGTGTTTAAACAACAGTTTAAAGGGACCTGAAAATAGCTCAATCAGGCAGATCTGTGAACAGCAGATAAAAACAATCTGGATTTAAAGAAATGAAACTAGAATCTGAACCTTTGCTTTATCAATGTTATATTTCTTTCAGTTTACCACGATGTCTGTAGAAAAACCGTAAATCAGTCCGATCTTCAGTAAGGCACTGAGTGTTTGTTCATTTTGAGGACAAACTGAACTGTGAGAGCGTGAATGTGTCTGGAAATAGCGGCTTTTTGAAGCGGCTCTTGCCTGCAGTAACTTCCGCCTAAAGCCTGAACTCTCACGTGTTTGAACCTTTCAGATGAATCAGCCTGACAAACGTTCTCCTCTTGTTTCTGCAGACTGTGTTCTTATCGAAGAGAATTTCTCCATGAAGTGTAGAAAGCACAAGGTGAGCCTCAGAGAAAACAAATCTATTACTTTAGGTGACAAGTCTGGGAAAAGCAAAAACAATTTGTGCTTTTTTGTTTTATCAGAACAAGACGCTGAAAGCCTCTCCAGGGAGGCGACGGGACGACAGGTGACGGTTTCCACAAACCTCATGAGGTAGGCCTGCCTCTGTGAGCTTTAAGCTCAGCAGGGTTAGAAAAAACAAGATGGTTTCTGTTTGAGGAGTTGATTTTGTTGTAGTGTTTACTGTCTACTATTAAAGACCTAAAACTGTGTCTACTCGGATCAATTCAAATAGAGAGGATTAAGTCTAAGGTAGACTGAAGGGAGATTTGATTTTTCAGATTATCCAGAGAAAATATGGAAGTGGAAGAAAAATGATGCATGTTTTTTAATACTTTAATTAGTGAGGCGGCCGTTTGTTTTCTGGTTTCCCTTAATTAAATCTGATGGTCCGATCTCCTGAAAATCCCAAGCAGCACCGGAAACGGAGCTGCTCCGGTCAGAGGAGTTCAGGCTAAATCACGTTCAGAAACTCAAACACTTTTTCAAAACGTCTTATGAAGAAAGTAATCCTGTATTGGCGTGCTCACACCTGGATGATTTAGCCAGCTTATACCAACGAACAAAAAACTTGGCAAAAACATTGGCGTACGTTCGATAAGTTATGCGTAAGTTTTGTATAAGTTACGAGCACGCTTAAGTACGCCGACATTAGGCAATTTTGAGCATACCAAATAGTTCTTGACATGGCAGCGTATGATCATACGTGGGCCATAATTTACAGGTAAGTTATTGGTAACGCTTTCTTTTACAGTACATCAATAACCTGGTAATGACATAGCAAGTTACACTATATCACTAGGTAACAAGAAAAGCTTTATGGAGAATTGTACCAATTGCTGTGGTTCACATTTTAAGTGAACAAGGTCAAACTTCTTAGATTTCAAACCCTTATTACCAGGTAACTCATATTCATTTTGCAGACGGCAATAAATGAAAGTGTTATCTGGTAAAATGCAGTTTATTACTTGGTGAATAACAGAAAACCAAACCTAGAAGAAAGCAAGCAAATTTTCGTAACTAACGCTTATTTATTTGTTACTTGAGTTCAGTTTTATATTTGTAGGAGGTGGCCAATTATAGAAAATGTTATGTGGTAACCTGATGGTAATTATGTTACATAGTCACATACAATTGAAATCATATACCTTAATCTTGGAGTAATTACCCAAGAAATGTTTTTCTTGTTACCGAGTACTATAGTGCGCCTTACCATGTTATTACCATGTTATTACCATGTTATTACCATGTTATTACCATGTTATTACCATGTTATTACATGGTTATTTATGTACTGTTAAAGAAAGCCTTATCAAGTTATTTGTTCGTTGACATACATTCAATTTAAGTTACTCATAAGTCGTGGCGTCTAGCTCTGAGTAACGTGTGCATAACTTATGCGTAACCTATCAAGAACCTAACTCCAACGCATATCAATGTATTTGTCGTGTTCCAGACGACCGCTGAACGTGTTTCCAACTTGCAGTTGCTGTATAACGCTGTATTGAGGAGGAAATTGTCGGTACACCTTTCGTTTTTTGTGTCTGTCTGTCTGTCTCTCTGCGGGTGGTAAACAGCTGCTAGGTTAATACGCGATTTCAAAGTTTAGAACAATCTTCTTCTTGTGCTTTTTATGCAGGCTGGGCGCATTGCTGCCCCTTCAGGACACTGGCTTGTGACGTCATGGGCATTACACGGCCGTGCGTATGTTATGTATGAGATAGGCTGCCGTTGGACAGAAGTTGTGGACTCGTTATGAATAGGCTATGCATTGAAATAATATGTAGAAAGTTCAGCATATGCCAGCTTTTTAAAAGATTCTGGGACGTCGGCATAAGCTGGCTAAATCAATTAGCTGCTGTTAGCTGATAGTTACCATCTGTAAAATCAGCTCTTCAGGCTGCTGCTGGTGTTTAGTTCAAATCATGTAGAAATATCTTCATTTGTTTCTGTTTCTAATCCATACAGGGTTCCTCCGACTGACAGCTAGCACCCACAATCCTTAGCGACACCCTCTGCCCTTCAGAGCGACTGTTAAACCGGAGGAGGCCGCCACCCGCTCATCCCCCTCCCCCACCTGTGGACTGCAGGATACCATGTTGTCTTTCGTCTGGTTATTTATATGGGATTGTTGGTTCTGCTCAGATCAATATAAATAATGATCAGATCTATTTAATTTTTAAAGATTTTCTAAGTATTTGGTTTATTTATTCCTGAACTTTTCTTATGGAGGTTGTTTGTGTGAGTGTGTGTTTTTAGTCTCCTGTGAAAGTTATCAGCTTAGCATTTACACGTTTCCCAAACAGATCTGCGCTTGATTTTTTGCTAGGTTTTTTTTTTTTGTTTGTTTTAGGACCTGGTTTACAAGCTGCCATTAAAGGAACAGCTCCAATTTTTTTCAGAATTCTGTGACGTTCCAAGTAATGGCTCCATTTCCTGAATTAAAGTCAGTTTGAACCAAAGCAACCTATCAGCTTTGACGCTGTATTAGCGACCCGCCCAACAGGCCACCGTTCTCTGGTTTCCTCAGCTGAAGGTTCTTCATTTTAAAGTGGATTGGGTTCGAGATGCGGCGTCCGTAAACGTTCTTTGATCTTAGGTCACATGGACGAGGAAACTGACACATTAAACAGGTTCATAGACTGAAACTATCCACTAACAGTCCTGTACGCCATGGCTGTGTCCACTTATGGGTTTAAACCCATCAGCTAAGTAGTTAATTTTCCAGACATTTCTACAAACTTGTTCCATTAAGACATCTGTCTGCTGCAGATGTGCAATTATTAATATTCTAGAAAAACAAAAAACAGGATGTTAAATGAGTTGGGCTGTGTGCCCTGATAGCAGCAGTTCTGTGTTAATTATCTGGTCTGATGAGTTATTAGAAGCTTTTCTGTCAGCATGAAGTCTATCAGTGTGTTTGAATGTATTCTAACAGGAAGCACTCCGCTCCGCAGCGCCGTAGCTCTGCTTGCTACTGACTCTTTGACGCTGGTTGCTTGGTTACCCACAAAGAGACGTCATCGACCGTTTAGTGATGATTTATTAGATTTTTATTTTTTTTTTCCACTTCAAAGCACTTTGGCCTCCCGTTGTTTGGCTGGGAAACATTAAAAATGTGCCCATGTTATTGTTTTTATTGC